TACATAAAATTTTTAACATTCCAAAACATATCGATTTAAATCGATATTCATATACATATAATAAACATACACAAGAATTAACTATTGAAATGCCTTATATACAAACAATATCAACTAATACTGAAAATCGAAATGATTCATCATTTATTTCACCTATACGTAATACAATGGAATCATCAAGTTATTCCTATGGAAATGTTAATAGAAATATTAGTGAAAACATGTTACCAACAGTTTCGAGTCGTTCGAATTATTATTCTGATAGTAACAATACAAGTGGCATCGGAACAATAACACCTGATACAACATTAATGCAAAGTTCAAATGCAACTGTTGCACCAATTTATGAATCAACAATTGGAAGTATAAAACCATTTGATTTTGATTTATTTCATCGATCGGCTTTTCGACCACAAATTGTTCCAGTAACATCCGATAATACGAATAATGATAAAAAATTACTAATGTCTTTAGATTTAAGTGATTATCAAGCTGAAGATATCAAAGTATCTGTTAAAGAATGTGAATTAATTGTTAAAGCTGAAAGAAAAATTGAAACTGATACACGTAAATCTCGTACATCATTTTTTCAATCAACTAGTTTACCACCACAAACCGATATTGAACATCTTCAATCAAATTATATTGATGGAAAATTAATTATTGAAGCTCCTTATATTGATCAAAATAATAGTGAACGAAGAATTACTAATACTAGCAGCAGTAATAACACGAATCAAAGAATGAATTGGTAAGATATATCGTACATTCTAATAACACACACAATTAATACAAAATTAACATCATTACACTTGTCTCATAATAATAATCTCTCTTGCTTTTCGTTATATGATTTACGCATGTTTTATATCATATCTGATTTTGAACTGTATTCATAAATATCCGTATCTTTCATATATTACTTTTTATTGATTAACTTGTGTGTGGGTATGTGTGTATGTATAGATTTGTTATTGATGCTTTAATTTAACCATGAATTTTAAGCCTATATTAGTTCTATGCTAGATAAAATATTTGTGCTTTTAAATAGAATAAAAAGAAGAATAGAATAACATATTCCATTTTAATTTCATCTATTCAATTCCAAGGCTTGTATTCTTTTCATCTCAAGGATTAACTCTTGCACATCTGCTTCTTGTTTTATATTTTTATAAGAAAAAAAAAGGAAGCGATTAACTTCAAGATATGATTTCTTTCTTCATCTTAGTATAAAAAAAGAGCTTCTTTCATATATATATATATATATTCAATCCTTTGGCAAATAAATATGTATATATACGTATTGACGTGTTAATGATGACGATAGGTGTTCATGAAAGCTTCTTTCAGACTTAATTCCGCTTTTTTTTTCGCTCTTGTCCTTCGTTATTTTATTATGCATATATGTGTATATTCAATATTTTAGGCAAACAGTAACTGAATCACAACAAAAGACCACCGACGACGATCCATTTCAAAAACGAACAGAGACCTTTACAGAACTTTTACGTCTTCGTCCATTTTGATCTTATTTTCCAACGTGATGTGCAATCAATCATATCAAACGTTTATGTGTGTCGAATGATAAGCAGAAAAAGAAAGAAACAAATGATCTATCTACATATGTTTCTTTATTCATCTCTTTGCACACATACAGCTGAATTCTGATGACTGTTATTTTTATTCTCACTTCCTCTTGCTTCCAGAAAATATCCGATCCACACATTGTCACATGGAAAAAACCTAAGCACAAATGCACATCAATAAACATTTACGATTATAGATATATATATATATATATATATATATCTCAATCACTCTAAGATTTAGTCTAAATAAACATTTTTATTACCATTGGTAAACGAATCATATATAATTTAGGTTGATTGTCATAAATAAATGGATGCATTTTGTCCGACCATAGTTACTTGAGCTGTACTTAGTTTATTTATAGTGATGGAAT